ATCTGGGATGAAGTGACAAGACTTCTTTCTCGGGGAGTACTCAACGACTTAGACAAAGCTGGAAACTTGGAGGATAGATACTATCTCAGGACACTGTGCCGGCCTTAGAGAATTCCTATTCATAATGCAAGTGTTTGTTCTTACTCTCAGAAAACTCTGCTTCAGGAACACACATGAACGTGACTGGCAGCTCTGCAGTATTAACTTTCCCTGCAAAACTCCTTATTATTACATATTTGAAAGACGTCTTCAATATTTAAATATGTATTTTAGGATATAATAACAAAATTCTTATTTACTTAAAAAAGACTCGTGCCCAAATCCCCACATAGGAGATAGGTGATCTAAATTTGTGAGCATAAAATTTTCTAATTACTCTTATCTAATTACTATTATGTATATATATGATATGTATACATTTATATAAAATATTGTAAAATATTTATATAAAATATATATACACAAATATTCTATAAGCAGACTAATTGAGCATCAGTATAGAGTATACTAATATAAGGTATTTTATATGTGAAAGTAACATGAGAGAATTATTTTTTGCCCATTTTAACTGCAGTGTAGATAATGGCCCCTTCGGTATATATTCTGTGGCTGCTATGAATGACCCCCCATTCAGACAGTCTTTAGAAATGAGCTTTGAAGAAAGGTGGTAAAGTACCCCTCATCTAGACCATTGGAATAAAATATATCACATCATTGTCCAGCCATGTCTAGTTGTCAAATGAAATGTATTTGTTTGTAAAGCAACCAGCAAAAAGCTTCTCAAGGGCATTTACCGATCTCTACTTGGGTTTGTAGAAAAGGGGACCTTATTGAAGTGAGTCGAGGTCTGGTGTAGGCCGGTCAGTGCTGGTAATCCTGAGGGGAGGGTGCCCAGCGCATCCTGCCGTTCATGTGGTGTTTTCCAGGAGATGGCTGCAATCAGTCATCTCACAGATGGTTTGAAAAAGGCTTGTCTTGCTGGCAAGCAAACTGTTATTTAAGTACACAATCCACTCTACTACTGAAACAGTTTTGCCAAACTTATCCAAGTATTCTAACATGCTTAAAGATGGTATAAATATCATTTATTGCTAGCAGTTTTCTTCAGACTATATGGAATGTCTTCCTGCTGCCTGATCTAAGTGTCCCAGTTTACATTATGGCCTTTACTGCCTCTGTTTGATGGAGTGATCAGTAAAAATTTAATGACACTATAAAATAATAAAAATGTCATTAATTTACCACGGATCTTGGATGCAGTGGTTGTAAAGTTACATTAATAAACAGAATATTTTTTACAACAAAAAGCATTGTTACGGGGGAACATATAAATAACACACATAAATTTAAGAGCAATTTTACTGTTAGCACACACATTATTATGGAATAGCCAATAAGTGTATAAAACATAGTATATAAAATTTTATTAAAATATACTGTGCACATCAAAAATTCAGCTTTTATCTAAGTGCAAAGAAAAGCCATTATTGTGTGCTTACTGTTTCATTGCTGTTCTTTCCCCATATCACAATTTTACATTTGTTGCCAGTAAGAGGAAGTTGATTTTTTTTTCTTAGATGGAAGCAAGGCTCTGTTCTTTTAGTCACCCCAAATCCATTCTCTTTCTCCACCGATGCAAAAACAAAATTGATCAATCTTGCCATGGTAGGGAGGGAGAAGTTGCTAATTTAATGCAAAGTTAAAAATAATGCCCAAGGAGTTGAATGGTTTGTTCAGTGACTCTGGAAATAAGGGATAATAATGCAGCAGTCTATCTGTCATCAGTGAGGCTGCCCCATCATTGACTCTGATAATATGTGAAGATGATGGATGTCAGCGTCTTGTGGCTTGTGGCATTGAACATCCATCAGCTCTCACTAAAGGGGGCTTTATCATTTCAATATCTTTACTTAATATGCAACATCTATCTCATACATCATAATTTCAAAGCACTTAAGAGAGCCAACAGTCCTACAACACAGCAGAGCTGACTTTCAGACTTTAATTTTTTTCAGTTACTTTTATGTTGCCTGCATGTTTTGTGACTGACAATGCATAAGTAAGTGTCTGATCACATCGCTGCATGTAAAATGCACATTGCACCGTCAACATGAAGATTGGGGAATTTTCCTGGGGGGGTTGAGATTCAATTAACATTAAGCTATTTTGCTTACATCTCCAAAATATCTTACTTGGGAGATGTACATTGTGAGAGCTAGTTCAAGTGCGTGGAAAAATCTGGAGCGAAGAACATGCCTCCCGCTGTCTATATGTGGTTGATATAGGGGCATACCCATTGGCACTTAATGGCCAGAAGTTGAAGCCTCTTGGAACTAAAGTATCTTTGAACGAAACTCTGTGCCCATGTCCACAATCCTGTATTTACCAGGCTCATGTTCCACTTCACTGGTAAAATCTTTGCTTAGCCCAGCTGCCTGGAGCTAACTTGTAGACATCAGGCCCTCTTCTTATCTTATGGTTATGTGGCTGGCAAATAAATATTCTGAGCTATTCTTTGAAGAAGGAAATCTTCTGGGAGACTAGGTAGAAATTTATATGAAAGGGCATGGCTTTGCAGGGTCCTTCTTTAATCTCAAACACAAGTGCTTAATATTACCAAATATAAAATGCAGCCCACTGCCCCAAACAATTTTTATCATTGATTTATTTTCTGCCTGTTTAACAAGTGTTTCATGGGATATTCTTCCTTGACTTCTACTCTGTCAAAATATTGATATTTTATAAGGAAAGTATCTCTGCAGAAGAATGTTTTTTTCAATGAAGTCAGAAAAATGTATGACTTCAAAGACACTGTGAATGTGTTGTTGAATGTTCTGAATGTTTTTTGTTATGATTAAAACAAGCTGATAATACTGAATTGTGAGTGCACTTCATTTTTTATAAAAGAAAAGATATTATCATCATGTAAGCTTTGTTGTCTTAGGATTTTACAAACCATGGCATGTAATTTTCCCTCTTCTCCTTCCTTGTCAAAATATTGATATTCTTTCAGGAACTTTATTTTTTTTTTACTGAGAATATTTTCCGGTAAAATCAAAGAGAATGAATGACTAGAAAGATACTTGAAATATGCATATTGATAGGTAGCACGGTCTGTTGATTTTCAGAGAAAGTTGTTTTTCCCCCCATGAAAATACAGCTAAAGGTTGTTCTTCCAAGAAGATTGCAGGTGTCACATCAAAACTCCTTTTGCATTTAACACAGGGAAAGCATTCACATGCAAATATTTGAAATGCGGAACAATGTGATAAAACAAAGGTTGAATATTTTGCTTTCCCTGGTACTACTCATCTTCACTTTAATTCTTTTTCTTTACATCGTGACAACCAAAAGTGCTACTCCAAAATAGAAATTGGCTGATTAAAAGCAGCTGTCCTTCCCTCCCTCCCCCCACCCCGGCCGACAATGTGTGAAACTCCCACATGGCTTGTGGTTGCTTTCTGTCGTGGCCTGCATCTGGGTTAATTTGTTCTTGTGCAGCAGTGTTTTCACATAAGAAGATATTGGGGAACCATGCCTAATTTGCTTTTTATTTTCATTCTGTTTTTTATAAGTGTCGTATTTCAGAGGTTTGCCCATAGCCCACTATTGTAACCAGTTAGTATTACCCAGTTGGGGAAATTCATGATTATGATTTTGCTGCAAATCTTTCATAGACGTGGTGCTAGATTAAAGCAAGGTTTATGCTGTGTTTTCTTCCAACACAGATTTCAACATACTCCACGATGAAGGGGAACTGGAAGACTTCCTGCACAATTTGACTGATGGGAATTAATTATAGAAATATAATGATATTCAAAAATAATCATATTAGAAAGCACAAATGTAGTGAGACTGTACAAATGAGACACAGCCTCTATCAAGTAATTGTATGTTTGCTCTTTAAGAATATTTCCAAGTTTCTAAACATCTTACAGAAGAGAACACTCACAGAGTGTTTCCATCTAATGCCGAACATGCTCAGTACAGAACTAGGTCATTGAACAATAGACTGAACAGCAATCAGCACTCTACTGCTGCATAATGCATTAAGTATAACATGCAGAAACCATTCCCGGAGCTGGAAGCTGCTATTTCATGTCTGTAAATTCAAGCTGACATGACATTTAATATTGTTTCATAGTAATGAACAACAAGGTCTCATTCATTCATAAGCACCACACAAAGCCAAGTTTGAGTCTGGAGAGTAGCGAGGAGGCGAGAAGGGGACACGCGCTGTGTTTTTGCAGACAAGAACACCATCTTAGTGACGGTCAGTGAGCCCTCGGCTACTGATCCAGAGAGCGGCAGAGGGAGAGTTCAATGTGATATTTCAGGCTCCTTCTCCTAGAAGAGCTGGTTAACAAGTATAACATCTTTGAGTTTCCCTCCTATAGCGGCAGGAGATTTTCACTTTCCTCACTCAATGGCTGGGCTAGGAGTAATCTCCTTTTTACTTCTCGGGGAAGTTACAGTGGAAACTCCTAAGCAAAATAAGAGCATCAACGCCATCATCTCGTCTGCCTGCTTGGAAACATTTGTTTTTGAAATCCTCTTGCCTAAAATACTGATTTGTATTTTCCCAGGAATACCAATATGAACTGTGATCTCTAATTGAGAAAATTCCTCTCCCGTTAACTAGCAGTAGATTTTAATGGGAATTGCTCTTTCAAGTTTTGCACTGCAGGCTCAAACCTTTCACTTGCATTCCTTTTAGACTACTGGAGCAAATCCCAGTGAGAGAAGATGCTCAGTGCCGCCCGGTGGGCTTCCTGGCACCGGTTTCCTTCCCTTGCAGGTACTCTGCTTTAGACGCGGTCAGCACTGTGGGTGCCACCGTCAGGCTTTAGCGGAACCTTCCTGAAAGCTTTTCTGAGCCCCTAGTTGATCAGAAATGACGTTTGTAAATCCAAGTTTTGCCCACAAAGCAAGATAGAAACTGGAAGGAAAAGGGGCTGCTTCGGAAGCTAGAATAAGCCTCTGATTATTCTTTCCTCTAGGAAAGAACACGCTTTGAGAATTTGGGGCCCCAGTTAACAGGAAAGTCAAGTGAAGATGGAAAGCTGGGCCCCGGTGTCATCGATCTTACGCGGCCAGAAGATGCAGAGGGTGAGTGGCTTTTCCGTAGCTCTTTTCTGCTGCTCTGGGCGGTTGTGATGGTGCAACTGAGTTAGCTCTAGGACCTTCTATGGGCTTTCCTGGGAGTACCGGCTGGTTTCTTTTTGGCAAAGCAGAAGAAATGTTAGCCTGCATTATATATTATAGCTGAGGACGTTGAGAGGTAGCTAGATCCTATATTACTGAACACATAGCCATTCAAGGACTTCAAGGTGCCACTTTCCAGTTTTCAAATAAAAGGGCCCTCTGCATTCCAGTGAGTAACAGAATCCTATGTGTCATCCATGTCACTGAATTCTTGTTAAAAAAGGACTAACATACAAAGGAGGATTTTTTTTAACCCTAAATCGAGTGAGTCCCAGGCACAGTCAAACCATTTTGGGAACTCAATGATGGTTTACAGCAGATCTCGCATAAAATTAATAATTGCTCAGGCAAGGCCCAGCCTGTGCCTGAGCAGCAAGCATTACTAAAATCTTTTGAAAGTCTGGATGGAAAGACCAGCTTCGCTCTCAGTGGGTTCACCCACAGCACTATCAATGCCTGTCCACCTCTCTTCCCTTTTTGTTTGTTTGTTTTAAATGCACAAGCAGCAAATCAGCAGAAATTGCTCCCCAGAGGCTGGGTTAGGTCAGCACTTCAGTAGTAATATTGCCTGGTTATTTACTGTGTCATCACAGAGTAGGGACTGGTTTTCCCGTTAGCTGTTCCTTTGGCAGAATCCCTCCCACCAGTCAGGGAAGATTAATTTGTTCTCTTCAGAGTAACACAATACTTCACCCAACTTGGGTCCCAGCTGAAGTTCTTTAGTCTGAGGAGACGAATCTTACTATTATCCCCTTTACTGGCAGAATTTCTTCCAGGACCCTAATCCCCTGAAAATGCACGAAGACATTTCATAGCCACATCTGAACTGGGCCTGGCTTCTGGTGAGAACTTGGGACCAACCCGGCAGTTCAGAAATCCCTGGCATGAGCGCTAAAAAATGGACAGTATCAGACATTAGGAAGCACTTCAGAGAGTTTTCAGAAGGCAGATTTTTTTTAATACAAGTAGGAGAGACTGATGTGTGATGATAGTCCTGGGGACAAGGTATTAAACTCTGATTGGTATGTGTGTGGGGATTGGGGGCGGTGGGGGGGGCCGGGGAAGGACAGGGAAGCGGAAGAGAAAGAGAGAAGGTGGGGGAAGGGAGGGGTGAGGAGGACTCAAACCCAGATACACACGCGCTGACTTTCATGAACAGCGTGTACCCAGGGCGCAGTGACATGGATATTTTAGAGGCACTCAGAAGTATAGGTTTTTCCTCGTGAGGACTGAGGTTCCTTGGTCTCGGGGACCCGTTATTCAGGTCTGGCCCGGCTCAATTTTGTGGCAAGGTCGTACCACAGAGTACCTACATCTTTGACCGTACACAGTGAAATAATATTTTTCGTCACTTTGGAGTATTCAGTCTGTTCATTTTTCCAGAGACTAGGAGGTACAGAGTTCCATCACCTTACCCTTATTCCAGCAGTCCTCTTAATTTGTCATTCTTCCTTCTTCATTTGGCTTCTTAACTGTATAATGGATATACACATGGTCAGTTACCTCTCAATAATGCCAACGATTTAGTTAATGATATTATGGGCTTGGTAAATCAAAAAGCACGATCGGAGTTACTAACCATTGTGAAAAGAAAAAATGAAAACCTTAACTATAGGGAAACATATTGTATAGAAATATTTTTGGAAATTCCATTCAATACCCAGATCATCTGGATTCAGACCAATTTCCTGGCTACTTTGGTTTTTGTTCTTGTTGTTTGTTCGTTAGCAAACATTTTTGAAGCACTTACCTGCTTTTTACACATATTTTCTCACGTAAACCTTATACAACTCTGTAAAGAAGGTATTATTATTTCTTTTCCACTTTAACAGATGAGAATATTAAAGGTGAGAGGAATCAAGTAACTTGCCACAGGTCACAGAGAGAGTCAGGATAGAGCCGAGAGTCGATCCCAGGCAGCCTAGCTCCAGAACCCACGCTGCTGAATACTGTGCCCTACCGCATGCCCTGTATACACAGATAAATCTGTGGTGCCTTCACTTTTCTGAACAAAGTCCTTGTGACCTTCCTCAGTATGGCCCATTTCCTCTCCCCTAAATATATCAAGTCATGCCGTACCCCAGCTCTCGTGTTACTCTGTCACACAGAGCAGCAGTGCCTGATGAGTGTAACAGTAGAAGGGCTGTAGTGGCCCAGGAGCTTAAGGAGCGTGTGAAAACCTCCCTTCAGAAGCTTGCCCAGAGTTGCCTTTGAGACCTCCTGTGCTTTGGGGGGCTGTGAGTTCATGAATGGAGTCAAGTTACTAGCTCTCAGATGGACAGAAGCGCACTGCCTTTGTGAGGACTGCTGGGATGGGCAGCAACCTTCTGCTGACTTCGGGATATTTCCTGGCATCTGTTCAAGTAAGAGACGATTGCAAAGCCTGCTGGGGTTACAGTTCCTATTAAAGTCAGAAGAGAGAAGGTACACATGATACTTTCTCTACTTTGCTCCTTCACATTTCCCTTAACAGGAAGAGTAGGAAGGGACTGCAATAAAAGAATGACTACAACTTATAAACTCCTTCAATCAGTTTATGGTCTAAATGAAACAAAACAAAACAAAACATTACTTAAGCGTCTACCATGTGCCAGGACTAGACACTAGATAAACCAAGGGAAGAAAAATGATGTGTTCCTGACCTCTTGGAGTTTAAAGTCTCGCGAAGGAAGACAGAGGATTAAAAGGGGAATATCTACAGACAGACAGGCATAATTATCACCGAGAAAAGTGCTAAAAAGATCAAGACTTCGTTATGCCGCATAGAGATTCAGAGTGAAAGCTACTTAGGTCAGCTCAATTGGCAGGTGGGTGCTGCAGCCCTAGCCTAGCACGTCACCTCTCCTCACTCCACACATGATCGCCTCCATGTTTCCTCTGGCTTGGCACAGCAATTAAAATGTTTTCCTCAGCTTTATTGAGATAGAATTGATACATAACTCTGTAAATTTCAGATGTACCATGTGATGGTTTGGTACACATGTATGTTAGAAGATGATTACCACAATAAAGTTAGTTAACACATCTGTCACCTTATATAATCACCTCTTTTTTATGAGAAAATTTAAGATCTACCTTCTTAGCAACTTGCAAGTGTATAACACAGTATTGTTAGTTATAGTCACCATGCTGTGAATTAGCTCCCCAGAGCTTATCCATCTTAAAACTGAACATTTATACCCTTTGACCAACGTCTCTCCCTTTTCCCTTCCCCCTGATCCCTGGAAACCACCATTCTACTCTGTTTCTGAGTTTTCCCTTTTTAGATTCCACATATAAGTGAGATAATACAGTATTATTTGTCTTTCTCGGTCTGACTTATTATCTCGCTTTGTATAATGTCTTCAGGGTCCATCCATGTTGTTGTAAATGGCAGGATTGTCTTCTTGTTTGTGGATGAATAATATTCATCCACAAAAACTCCTTCAAGAGTTGTGTGTGTGTGTGTATGTGTGTGTGTGTAAGTAGACATATATGTAGAGAGATAAAGAAAATGTGATATATATATCCATCCATCAACGTACACTTAGGTTGTTTCCATGTCTTGGTTTTTGTGAATAATGCCGAACAGCCATCTTAAAGGGCTATGCTTTCCTCCCACTTGCACCCCGTCCTCCTGTGAGGCTTCTGAAGAGATCAAAGTACGTCAGCTTAGGAGATGAGGGCCTGTTCCAGCTGGGCTTCCCAGGAAAATATCTGCCAGTCGTGAAAATGCCAATATCACTTAGTAAGCAACTTGTGGACCTGCTTCATAGCTCTGAGCATGGAGGCAGCAAGGGAAAGGTCACCCAAAGAGGCAGCTGTGCATGTGTATTAAACACTCATCAAAATCAAATGACAAAACCATAAGCCAGGAAAACAGAAATTAAAAATATAAAAGGCAAATGCCTTCAAAATTTTATTTTTAAAGTCCAGCTGTTATTTGGCTTGAATATGACAAGACAGCATTTCTTGTTCACCATGATATTTATAAAACTACAAATTCATTGGTGCTGGGGGCCTAGGAAACATGTGTAAGGTCTTGTTATACTTTGAAGCAGTTGAAGGCTTACTGTGTACTGAGCACCCAAAACGTGTTAGCTCCTATGTGGGACACAGAAGGAAGAGAGGACTTGATTAGTGGAGTCTGTCACCATGTATTAAGAATGATGAACAGCTGTTTAACTTTTTAGGGACTCTTCACATGGTATTTCCCCTCTCCTTGTTCTCCGGCAATAGTGCGATGCTTCCCCCAACTCTCCTAATTTCAAGGTTGCAAACTAGAGTGGAAAGGGCGCTCCCCCAGTTATTGGGAGGTTTGGATTAAGGCTCTTTTACTAAAGGATGGCAAACGAGTGACTGAGTCCTCCTTATCTTTTAAAAGAGAGGTTCTGGATTCCATTATCTCTAAGGCCCCTTCCAAATCTAAGATTGGACACTGCCTGTGCTTCTTATAGGAAAGGTGATCTGGGCACAATAGTTTCCTCTTATTTTTTTCTCAGAAAAATGAAGGAGGAGACCAATAGCTCTGAGAGGATATTTGTGCCTACTTGTTGCATCCAGTTTTCAGGTCCCTTGAACTTTTCTTTTTACTAATGAGAAGCTCTCTCTGGTAGTAATTCCCAGTTGCCTTTCGCGGATGGGCCCCTCTTCTCTCTGCCCTCTCTTCTCTTCTCCCAGCAATAACAGTTGTGGCTTGCCTTCTTTTTCATATTCTTTCTATCCTGTTTCTTCTCTCTTTCACACCTGGCATCTCTAAAGAGATATTTTCTTTTTTTTTTTTCCATCTTGCAGAATATCTGGGGTAAGAAAACATTTTTCTAACACCTCTTTTAATTCCCAAATTCAATTATTGCGTCCCAGCCTCAGAGGGAGGCTGCACCTCATTTTGATGTGGGGAATAGTGGGATATGAGCTCCGAAAGG